AATCGAAGCGCTGATTCATCAGTGAACTAGTTCTGAAAGAGCTGTCCACACAAATTTGCTCGATGTTATAAATGACCTCATCGACTCAATCACTTCTCAGGGAAGTTCGATACGTCAGCCAATGATGACGGATGAGCTTGTCTGTTTGTTCATACCGGATCTCGTGATTTTTCATGGCGACGTTTCATACCGACGAGCTATACATTGCCTGTCTTTCTTCTACTCGTCCGCATATGCACCCACATCAATGAATACGCTTCATGAGCAGACTGATGCCAGTGCTCAGACTGGTAGAACTGGGAGCAGTGTTGCAGATACGAACACAATGTCCTTGGCAACCGAAAATGTAACATTCCTCGACGCCACAAAAGAGATTGCTCCTCTCTCGCCCTACTCTTCCGCGGTCGACTCGCTTGCTGATCTGCCCACTGTTAGCACACCACCAGGAATGCCCGACTCACCGGACTATAGCAATGTCATTGAAGAGCATGATGCGGCAGGTAGGTTATGTGGGTTTTTAGCTACAATACAATGTCATTTTCTTTACCATGCTCAGTTTTTCACGCGTCAGGTAATTGTGATCCTCAAGAAAGTGTAGTCTGATCACTGGGAAAGCGTTTTCAGTTACCAGCGTTTGTAAACTGACTCACTGCGCAGTAAATTGCTTACTGTCACCATATGCTCTTACGCTGTTCATCAGGTTCTGACGTTGATCGATCCCACAAATGTTTTTTTTTATTGGTAATATTTCTGCGATAGTATATTTGCTTCACTTATTTTTGCCGTATATTCCGGTTTCTGGTCTCACCACTCACTCATTATTCTCTTTTGCTGATTGTCTCAGTTTGTCTCGTACCATCGTACAAAATAGGTAGCCTACGGGGAATAATATGAAAACAATATATGAGTGCTAAGCATTCTGCTTACCCTGCTGCTTTACACGGGTCCTCTCATTCTATTCTAGCTTCTCACGGTTCTTCAGTCACCAGCTTGCACAATTTGTTCAGTGCACCTCAGGAACGTCGAGAGCAATCAAAACAATCCACGAAAAATATCCTTGTGAGTTACAAGTCGGATTTGTTCTTATTTGTCACCGTTCTCTACACCCAGCCACATGGTTGAACTAGCTAACTATTGCGCTTAAAGTCACCCGGTGATACTTAACTGTTCAGCGTTATCGCTATCAGTGCATTGTAAACTCGAGAGATAATGGTTTTTCGAATATCCCTTTTGCTTGATCGTAGAAACTAAATACACATTTGTTGTGCATAGATTTTAATTATATCACGTTCACCGAAAAAACATCGGCGGCACCTTGCACTTGAGTCTGGGCTGCCGATCACTGCCAAAGTTTATTAAAACTGCATTCTAATGTTGGTGATTGAGATGGAATCAAATGAATTGCCTTTGTATTGATCAATTAGATGAAATCTATCACGTAATGTATACTATTGCAGATTTTCCTTTCCACCGATTTATTTGTGTATAACGTTGTTCTGCGTTTGAAGACATGTAAAATTGCTCTATAGATTCGTAAGCATTGATCAAGTCTAATGGTCTTTTTGCCTTTTGAAATGTTTTTAATTTCTCTTCGCAACAAATCTGAAATTGTATGGCATTTAGAAGAAACAGCACGAGTTTGTTTTCGGTAACTTTATGCTCTGACTAGAACTGTGATGTGTCGAAAGATTATCATATTAGCAGTATGTTGTGGTGTATGCGTTCTTTGATTGAAACAGTCAACAGATTATGTGGCTTGAAGTCGGGTGCTCGGTGGACTGAGTAAGGGACGATTTACACGGGTTGGATGGGGTCGAGGTCAACCACTTCAGGTTTGGGTTACGAGGTCATGAAAAGGTTATCCTTGACCCGGACTATGCCATTTGATTGACTCCAAATATCCACCGCACCGTGGTGCACCAAAATGCTTTTTCAGTTTTCCAATCAATTGCTTTATAAACCTTTGTTCGATATTTCAGCCACTTTCAAATATTCACCCTCTAGCATCACAACCTAGAATAGATAAACGTCCAAACTTCGGTTCCTGTTATCTCGAGGACTGTTTTACTTTGTCGGACTGTTTTGCATATTTACTCACTATTAGAATGTCTGTGTAGCAGCTGAGTTTACACCCTCAGTAATGATATACATTTATTTGACAACTCAGAATGTCATCTAAGCGATCCTACGTGACAATCCGTCGACATGTTCATTTTCTTGTCCTATTTATCCACATTGCGTCGGTTAGGGATATTCTTCACATGGATATCAACTTTGGTAAGATTATTCCATCTTCCACTCGGAGGGGGGAGACCAAGTAAAATACAATTATGAGACTTAACGACCGATCCTAATATTCAGTATTTTGTGTAAACTCGTGCACCACTAAAGCAGACAATAAACTTGAGGGACGAATTACATTGCCCCTAACTATGGTGCCTCTTGTTTTCACCCAGCTCCGCTAAGATTATTCCAAGCTGAGATTAGCAACTTATACATCCTTTAACTATATCCTCGGGCGAAATCAACTTTATATATACATATATATTCAACACCTATCACGATGGTTCTCTTCGCTTCAGCCGCTGCCTTGCGGTTAGGTTTTTGCAAAAACTAAGACTTTTGGTTAGTGGCTGGACTCTCTAGCAGTACCCGTCCATTAAATCCTAAGACATAAACAAAATAATAATAACATGATATTACATCAGTCGCGGCCCAGGATGATCAGGACCCTGCTTTACCTGTGGAGTGGGTAGTGATAAGTGGGCTACTGCTCAGGTATCACAATCTCTGCTTAGCTATTCGTCTTCGGTACCCAGCCCTGTCACTTTGACCCTTGGTCCGACCTGTGATAGTCCCTCAAGCAATTTGGATTTCTCTCGCCAGATGGCGCTGTGTTCAATTTATCACGAGATAGATTGCAGATTCTGAAGCCTCGTCAATCACTGAATATGGGGGCCCTCAAAGTGAGGGCTCTGATGCATGTAGATCAGCTAGCCTGTCTGGCGCGTACAATGGAATCCTTAAGGTCGGTATTCGCTGTGTATCGGAGACTCGAATTCAGGATCCTACTACTTTAAGCCACCTGAGCGTGCGTTTTTCGTACATCAGACGACGACGAAACTCGTTAAGTAGTAGGTCAGCGCGGGGAGGTATTGCACTCAATAACAAGACCGAGTCATCTGTTATCCACGGGATACCCGTTAACAGTCGTGTATTTGCAGTTCGTTTCTAGTGTTCAATCAGAATCCAGAAGAACAACTTAACCAAGAGGTTTGTTCATCATATCGACGTATGCACTGATCAATTGCAGTTGAGATACACAAAAGGGCTATCCGAATCGTCACTAAAGTTTTAAGCTGCGTCATGATTCGACGTCTGGCTCCCATAAGAGAAACCAACATTCGCGAAATGCAAAGCGGATTCCGGTTTGGACGTGGATGTAGTGATCAAATTCTCACGTTGCGTCATTTTCTTGAGCTGCATCACATTCACCTTCGATCAACGATCGCAGTGTTGCTTGACCTGAAAAAAGCCTTCGACTAGGTCGACCGCGAAGCTCTAATAAAGTCGCTGCTTCGCAGAGGAGTGCCGCAGAATGCTTGGAACAGTATGTACGTCGAGTTCGATTGTGCACTCTGTGTGTGGACCATAGAGGTTCACATTCTTCCTCATCCTTCAAAGTACGTCTAATCCCTGTCCATCTCGAATTTTAACACTAACCTTGTATGCATTGCTAGTCTGGCAGCCATCAGTGAAGTTCGGTTAACCGTATTTCGCTGTACGATGATGTGTGAGCTCTATCTTGTGATATTATTCTATTGGAAGTAAATCGCTCATATCTCTCCATTGAGCAGGTTTTCTGTTTTCCTCGAAGCTTTGGGATTTACTCACGCGGGCAAAATTGTGCAATTTCATTCGTTGTGTCAACATTGTGATATCACTCAATGGGAAATTCAACAACCTTTCCAACGAGCCCTGATTGAACTATCTAAGTTCAATTTCAAGCATTCTACGGATATATTTGAGCTGTTCAGTGCACTCCTTGTTGCCATCCGCAGTCGCACTTGTGTTTGTTCCACTGCCGCGGGCAAAGCCGATCGATATTCCCAACGTGACCTTTGTCATTGTTCTGCGTACTTGTGACCTCCAAGAAAGAGCGAACTCAAAAATCGCCACACTCGAGGCAAAAATAACGCAAATGGGGATCAGCGCCCAACCTACGGGTCTCACGCACCTTCGGCGACAGCCTAATTCACCTCACGCCGGAGAACCCCGGTTACCCCGGGTGACACTATATAGCGAATCAGACGTAGAAAATGTTCTTCTGTCCAGCTTTTTCCTTCGAGAAAGTTGAAATAAAATAAGGATTCTACCAGACAGACCATGGAGCGAGCGTGCGCACCAACGAAAAAACCCGAACAGCGCACGGGAGACGAACAATGCCCGGGTGATTCTTATACACGAAGTCCCATAATTAAATGATCCAGACGCATCAAAATGCCAGCAAAATGATTGTAAAGAGTGGCGGTTCATTCAGGATCTCATCGGATGTCTCCAGATCACGACTACAGCAGTTAACCACCTCCCCTGTTCTCTTAACTTCCGCGAAGACGACCCGAGAATTCTGAAAATAACCCTAAGCACATCAGAAATGGCTACGACTGTATTGCAGTCTTGGTACGACAACAAGAT